AAAAAAAAAAAAAAAAAAAAAAAAGAAAAAAAAGAAAAGGAAGAAAATAATATCGAAGAAACGAAATAACAAATAACTTTGATCGATATCTACGTTGCTTCGAAGAAGAAACGTTCCCCAAGATTATTTTATCGTTCATCGACTGTTGCCCTCCTTTCATAACAGAGCTCGCAATTAGCGAATAACAGTTCAGAATGAAATTCTCGCGAAGAGTTACGAAGGCGTGAGACATTCCATCGCCAGCCTCCCGAGCCGCGGCTAAGGGCGCTGCCTCTCTCTAAAATCCACCAAATCCTTTCTAAAACAGTTTTCCTTTTGCTATTCTTAAACTATAGAGACTATAATGGAACTCGTGCGGGATATAAGATGCGACACGCTTTATCAAGGTGATCAATTACTCGCGAATTAGTGTCAAGATCGTTTCTAATTCGGATCGTACGAGAGTTAATCCTAGAAAGAGAGAGATGATACGTAACGAGGATATATATATATATATAATGTAATTTGGTGAATTTGTATATAATATTCATTCGTTTTACCAATACGAATCTGTCGTTTCCACGAACAAAAGACGAATTTATTTACGCGTATTCGGAGTTAAGAGAAACGAAAGATCGAGTGAATGAATGACGAAGTCAAGGTGGAATGCGACGATATCTCGTTCAGGATTGTCTAGCCAATACGTCGGCGACGATAGGAAACCCAAGAAACTCGGGCTAACGTTATCAATCGGATTCTTCGCTTTGAATTTCCAACCTGCTGACATTTAATTCAGCAGAAAAGGAGCTCGGTGTTCGTTACTTCGTTATAATGTGTACGATACCCGTGCAAAATGGACGTTCGTTATCTTCAGATTCGACGTTCGTTAACACCTTTGTCGAACAAAATATTATCTCGTGTTATCTCAAATTAACTTTTCCTCTTCTCAATCTTTCGGATTTTAAGATCGATTAAACGAGATGTAGGAAGAAGAAGAAGAAGAAGAAATGGGGTAAAAGGAAGGAAATGACGCGGTGAAAAGTGAAACCACGACAATAGATAAGATGCACAATAGGGTAATGATAGGAGAAACGACCTTGAGCAGCCAAATCTTCGACCGGCTGCCTATAATTAGAACGAACAATAAGAGCTCGCTAATCACCAATTGTTGGGTCCAAGAGCGAAACCATTCAGTAGTTTCGGAACAGTCATCTGCTTAACAATGAGCTCTAATCGTGGCCGAGCTTAACTTCTCGATCGGTCGGAAAGGACCGACGCTTTTCAACCCACCGACCGACCAACCGATCGTAACAATGGGAACGGAAATTCCCTGGAAATCGAATCTTCCTTCGATGATAATATTTTATCCTCCCGTCTTTCGATAATATTTTGTTCTTTTTTAATCGCATCGAAGGTGAATTTTTTCGTTTCCCGTCACTTAAAAAAAATATATATATATAATTTCCTTTCCCAATATTTCTCATTAATTATTATCTCGAACGAGTATTGTTAAACTCTATATTCGTTTATACAAAAAGTATTTTATTGCGCTTCACAGTGAACGAAATATTATATATATTTTTGTGGTTGAAAATTACTAGATAATTTGATAGCAACGAGCTTGGTAATTTAATTGATAATTAAATTTAATTCAACATTTCGAATATTTGCGAGCGAGAGACCGAGGCCGTAAACCACCAGGATATCGAATGAATAAAATTAAGCAAATATTTTCAGAAATCTAAATCCTCCGTTGATCGTCAGATTACCGGTAATTTCAGAGATTCGCGAAGCTAAACATATTCGAAATTCTAGTCGATAATATATATATATATATATATATATCGAATTGCGTGCTCGAAAGCCATCGACAAAACAGGGGTGCATAATTTACCTTTCGATGATTATCGATCGCTATCCGTACACAAATACGAAAGAGAATTCATTGTATATATTTTATTTAAAACACCTAAATCGTTATTGTTTATTCGTAATTTTTCTTTCTTTCTTTCTTTCTTTCTTTCTTTCTTTCTTTCCTCGCGCGAGAGGCGACGCGATCGCGATCCAATGGAGATTCGAACCCGATTCGAAGCAGCTCGTTCCGAACGAAACTGAAACCGATGACGAGCTTGCACCGAGCCTGCACTTTCCACGTTCACAAACGATGGAATAACCTCGGCTACGCCTCGTAAACTCGCGAATAAGCCAACGGATTACCGTTAGCCACGCGTCTACCACCGCCTCGATGCCGTCCAATGGGACACGAGGAACGTCCAATTTGTATTCCCGCAAGGATCCACATCCGACACAGAGGTGATGCACGTGCGTTTTCGTGTCGCGTTAATGCCCAACCACGTTCACGCGCGATCCTCCTCCACGATACGACACGTACCATCTATCCTCGCAATGCTCTCCTCCTCGTCCACCAGACGAGGAAACTATAAAATTTTTAGGGAGTCCGGGGGCGAAACGCGTCACCCATTCAACAATGTGTGTGAACGAGCCGAGCCGAGTTTAGTCAGTCTGTGCACACTTTCTTCGTTGAATAACGAAGGAGGATGCTCTATTCGTTTTCCAATACACCTTTTCTTCTTTTTTGAGAAAGAGAGAGAATTAATTTGATTGGACAAAGAAGAATCGAATCTTAAGGATTTCGAGAAAAAAAGGTAAAATATTCACTCGTTCGTCGTGGAAGAAAGTTTAAACACGTTGGATAAAAGAGTAATAAATAATGGCTCCCGAGTGACGGGTTTAAATACGAATAACAAATTGGTATTTTTGAGGCGTGGTTACTGTTGATTAAACAACGATGATTAATCGCGCCGATAAGTAGTGGTTTTATATTCGTAATATATTACGATGAGCATTATTCGAATTCCATTCAAGGTAAATAATTTCTCGCGGATAACTTAAATTATAAACGAGAAGTCATTTCAATATCGCGATATATAAATCCCGATAATCCGGTTGGACGAAAGGCTATCCATCGGTCGACTATCGGTAGCGAGGCGTCGAGAAGCGTTCTCATCGTGGCAAAATGATCGAGTGAACGAGCGAGAGAGAGGGAAAAAAACACGTCTTTATCGCAACGAAAGCGATCTCGATGAGAATTCGTTCGAGGGATCGGGAAGCCTACTTTCTATCTGCTTTCTCGCGACACTGCATTATCACCCGGTCGAATCCGAGTCTGTGTATCTAAAAGCTTCCTGTTCCTCTACTCGGTGGCTGGCCGTTCGTCCTTCCTTCTTAGATCTCAGACATCGCTAATTGGATACCTTTTGCTGCACCTACCTTTACTGGCAAGATAACCCAATATACTCTCGTTGCTTCCGAAATTCGCCAGCATGTTCGAGAATTTCACGACGGGGACACGCCGATCTTTTTTTGACCGATCAGCATCTAACAACACGTACACGTCTAACGACACATTATTATCCTCGTGGAATGGGAGCAAAATCGTATCAACACTTCGGGTGACTCGTAAACCTTGTGTATACAAACATTCCTTCGACGATTTTCGACGATTTGGAAAATTCGGGATAACAAAACTCGCGACGTAATATCAAATTCGCGAATTATTAAAATTTTCGCGTTGCGATAATCGAGAACGGATCGAAAGGAGGATCGAAGCGATGAATGGTACGGGTCGAGGTATAGATAGAGGTAGATGGTGGAAAAAGAGGGATCATTGGGCGAGATAAAGCGGCAGGAGACGGGGAGATACGCGACACGAACGCATGTTTACCGCGCGTGCGACGGCGCTCGACTAAAGGCCTTAAGGTGAACACACTTGCCTCTTGCCTCGAGAGTTTTCCACGCGGACGCGCTCCACGCTTGCGTGTAGGTGTACCTCGTACGTGGTTATGTCTCCAAAGCGGTAAAGAGGGTTGGACGTGCACGGGGAATTACGCAAACGTCTATTAGACTGGCTATTAGCGTTAAAAATTATTTCACGCGATCATCGGCCTGAGGAAAGCAAACGAGAGAGAGAGAGAGAGAGAACAAAGGAGAACGGGAGGATAGGAGAGAGGGAATGAGAATGAAATTCGAATGGAAATTCGGTAAATTTGATTTTCATTCGTCGTGAAATGGAAGAGTAAATTTTTATTTTTTTCTTTTCGATAACGATCAACATTGTTACGTTTAATTCGAGCGGAGAACGATACAGTTACGGGATCGTTACTTAACCGGTATAAATCTTCCG